GAACACCACTCATCACTGGTGCACGACACCTTTGTGAAAGAGGGTCCTCACCTGCCCTGCACACATCTCCGATGGACGCAGCGCGTGCTGGACCCTGCTGGCATCTGCTTGGGCTTCCACCAAGCGATTGAATTCTCTCAGGAAGTGTAAAAAAGCATCAATTAACATTCCTCCAGCAGATGTTACGCAGATGAGGAGCGAGAGAGCTGGACGTGCCCAGGGCTGTTTGGCTTTCCTGGCTGGTTGCGGCATCCCACCACTCCATCTTCTCCTTGGTCAGACCCCAGATGGATGTAGGCTGAGCTGGGGTGCTGAGTGGGGAGTAAGCACTGAGTAGGGTGTTGGTTTGTTTAATTGGCCCCGGAGGTGGTTAAATCATCAAATGTGATGCAAACAAACCTGTTGTATCTCATGCACACTACAACCTGAGATTTGGGAGCTGCTGTGTCTCTGCTAAGGAGGCAAAAGAGGGACGAGATGGGGCTTTGGGCAGCTTTCCTGCCCTACCCCACCAAGAACCTGGCCCAGGGTCTCTCTCAGAGACGTGTCCCCCACTTTGTGCCAATCTCCCCCCGCAGATGTGCCCGTCCTAACGCCATCCCTCCCTTTCCGCCCCACAGGTGATCAAGTACACGCTGGACCCCGTCTGGAAGCCGTTCACTGTGCCTTTGGTGTCACTGTGCGATGGAGATGTAGAGAAACTGATAAAGGTAGTGGGGGGTCATTTGGGCTTGTGTCGTGGTGGGCTGCTGGGAGTGATCGTTAAAAATTTAAAACCCCGTGGCTGGTTTATTAAAAAAAACCCAAAAACCAGCCAAACCAAACTAGAACCACCCCCAACCCCCCAAAAAACCCTTGTTTGGGGTCTCTGACACTTCAGGAGTTCTCGTCTCAGGAGAACTTGCCTCTGAGGCTGGTCCATGCTCCTTCCACCCTAGGTGATGTGTTACGACTACGACAGCGATGGGGGACACGACTTCATCGGGGAGTTTCAGACCTCTGTTGCCAAGATGTGTGAAGCCCAAGATGCCTTTCCGGTACGTGCCAATGCGCTTTCAGTGAAGAACGAGGAAGGGGCAGTGCCTTTTGGTGCTTGCAGGGAGACCCTCAACCTGTGCCGAGAAGAAGCCAAGTCCAACCTCCTTTCTCCTCCCACCGGCACCATGAGTGACCCAGGCCACTGGTTTGTAGATAAAGCATCTGAGCTAGAGAGAGGGCTAAGGCGGTCTTGTCTGAAAAATCGAGCTCTGCTGAGGAGTTTGAAGCACCACCCATGATTTGGGGTTGCCCCATGGTTTGCAGGGCCAGAAGGGGAAGGGTGATGTGGTGCTGGGGCTGCACCTGGTCCCCAGGAGAGCCGGCTCCTGTGCAACTCCCCGTCGGTTTTGTGGGCCAAAGGTGTCCCCATCTTCCCCTCCAAAGTGCTGGCCAAAAGCCTTGGGAGATGCCACCTGATGGAAGGCATGTCACGAAGCCTCCTGGATAAGCAGAGCTTTTCACTGCCATCGTCACTAGGACTACAAAACCAAGAGGAGGTCGTGGCTGAGATGTGGGGGTGTGTAAAACACCATGCGTGGTGCCGTGAGAAAAGCTTCCTGGCTGGGGAAACTGAGGCACAAAGGCATGAAGTGTCCTATCCAGGACTGAGCAAGCTGATGGTGCCAGAGGCAGGTGCTGAACTAATTTTTCCGCTGGATTTGCAACCTAGCAATAAAATCTTATTTTCTTCCCATTGGCCCCTGATTGATGCTGGTTAGAAGAGAGTAAATCTCACCTTGCTGTGTGCCTGTGCTGCTGTGCCTCTGTGCATGACACGGGTCCAGCTGGGGCCAGGCTCGCTCTGCCTCTAAAAAATGGGGAAAGGTCGGGGCCCCTCCGTTCCCTGGTGAACCTGTTCCCCAGCCGACTCTGAGCAGAGCTGCTGTGGGCACCAGGCAGAGGAAAGTGGCTCCAAAAGCAAGCGGCTGCTGCTTGCCACTGCTGCACATCGCCCTCCAGCATCCTGCAGCATCCTTCCGCCCCAGGGTGGCTCCTGCTGGCCTGTCTCATCCTTTCATGTGGCCATGCTGATGAGGGGAAATACAGAATTGGGGACTGAGATGCTCTTGCTGTAGACCAGCCACTGCGTGCTGGCGTGGTCAAGGTGGGGGAAATGCTCATTGCCATGGCCAGGACCATCACTGCATGGTCTGAGCAGGTCCAGGGCCATTGGCGGATGGTCTGAGCAGGTCCAGGGCCATCACTGTGATGGTCTGAGCACATCCAGGTCCATCACCAGGATGGTCTGAGCAGGTCCAGGACCATCACTGGATGGTCTGAGCAGAATGCTGGAGGAGGGAGCACAGACTGGTCATCACCATCCCATGTGGACCCATGTGGGAGCTACCCACTTGCAGGTCAGCTCTGGGCTGTCTGCCTGGGTTTATTCAGAGTGAGGTCATTTTGTCAATAGAGCTGTATTTTGATCTTGTTCAGTCGGCAAAATGCAATGTTCACATTCAGGAAACTTAAGAGTTTTAGTACTTAAACATTCCCATTTTTCAACAGCTGGAAGAATGGACATGACTTTCTCTCCATGCTCCTCCTGCCCAGTCCTGCCATCTCCCCCAGACCAACCCGCATGCAAACTTTATTCTTGGACAAGAGTTTTAAATCAGTTTTAGATTAAGAAAAAAAAAAAAAAAAAAAAAAAGAAAACAAATACTGCAGCAATTCTCTGGATATCCAAAAGTAATTTTGTTTTCCTAGAACTTTTGAGGAAAGGTGGTGGCCTGGCCTAATTGTCCATGTGTTTGACCCGTCCCGTCCTGTTTGCCTCCATCCCATCCCATAGACCCCCGTAGCCTCGTTGGGGTGTCTCAGCTGCCATGTGCCAGGTCCTGGGCAGGTTGAAAGTCCCAGTGAGGGAAAAGCAGTCCCTTCCTGAGCAGGTCCTGTGCTGCCATTTCCGTCATTAAATACCAGTACGTTCGTTTATGTCTTTTCAGCACTTTGAAACGCGTGGAGGGAGGGTGCCCGCAGGATGCGACCACCCAGAACAGCCCAGCTCTCACACCTGTGTCTCTCTCATGTTACAGCTCGAGCTCGAGTGCATTAACCCCAAAAAGCAAAAGAAGAAAAAGAATTACAAGAACTCTGGGATCATCATTGTCAAGTCCTGCAAAGTGAGTATGATGCTGGGATGTTTCCTGCTGCTCCTCACCCAGCTCAGGTCTTCCCGAGCTCCCCCCAGCCCTTCTGCCTCCAGCGTCCTTGCGTTTCCAAGTGCAGGACTTACAAAACACGAATAAAAGTGTGATCTCCTTTCTGTTTGGGTTTCTCTCCGCTTGGAGCATCTGATGTACCGAGTCTCTGGGTGGCTGCAGACCCAAGAGATGTTGTTCAACATGGGCAGCATCTCCATGAAGCTCAAGCTGTGGGCACCTACCAACTGCCTGGTGTCTCCTTGGGGGCAAGGGATGGGTGTGGGTAGGAGAGGTCATTCTTCTGAGCTGAGGTGTTGGTGAAATCCTCCCTCCATATGGCAGCAGCACAGCGGGGAAGGCACTGACACAACTCTTCCCGCACCAGAGCTGCAGGTGGTGTCAGACCATTTTGGCCACGGGGAGAGGATCTTCCATTTTCAGGTCACCATGATGGGCACTTCCAGTTCTCAAGGACCCCTGTCCAGGTCTCTCAGCCCAGCTTTTGACCAACACATGGCCCTGCTTGGCCCCACGTGCCTCGTGAAGTGCCAAAACACTGCCGTGGGGGACCCGGGCGGTTCTTCCCATCTGTTTGCTGCCTGGCCGAAGGTCCTGTGACCACAGGCACGGGCACTTCCCATGGATTTTTTTTTTTCTTTTTTTTTTTTTGTTCCGCAGTGGTGAAGATTGCTGAAACACATTTTGTTATTGCTGTTTTTCTTTCAGATAACCAGAGATTTCTCTTTCTTGGACTACATCCTGGGAGGCTGCCAGCTGATGTTTACCGTAAGGACTTTTCATAGTAACATGTATGTCATGGTCCAAACCGGGGAGGGAGGTTCTGCGTGAGATTTGGCACCAGCTTGGCTGGCTTTTCATGGCAATGCTGTTAAACCCTGCTTTGCTATTAAATCATGCAGTTTTGGGGGTCATTACTGCCACGCTTAGGGGTGTCCAGCAGCACAGAGGGAGATGGCTAGACTTTGGCTGAAGGTCAGACTCCCACAAAGACCTTCTGACCTTCACAAAATCTTTCCGACTGACCCCATCACAGAGTTAAACCACCACTGTCCAGTTTTTTATGGATAGTTCTGATTTTGAAGCCAGCTGGGAGGCTTTGGGCTGTTGTTGAGATGGTTTTCTGCTTTTTTCCTGGCATCTCCACCTCTTTTCAAGCTGGACCATGGTCGAGAGTAACTGAACAAGGGACTTTACAACCCCCAGTGAAACCGCCACGATGGGTTTTTAATTTCTGCAAACTTTTCCGGTGCAGTATCTGGAGAGCTGCGGGCACTCACAGTATTTCAGTTTGTATTTTGTTGTTTCATCTAAAAACATGATGGGGGGAGAGTAGGAGGAGGAGGAGGAGTTGCCATAGGAACAGGAGCGATTGGGAGAGCTTTGTGTATGCCGTTCTGCCGCTGCGTGCTACGGTCTTGGTGCTGGAGAGTGAATAGAGAAGAGAAATCATTAAGTTTACTGGTAGCACGGAGCTCTTGTGTGAATTAGGCTTGAATGCAGAAATCCTCCTCCCCATCTAAATATCTGCTGGTTGTTAGAGGGTTTCTCCCCCGGCCAAGATGTCCTTGGTCCAACAGCCTGGGTAGGTTTGCGATGGGTGCAGAAACGCCTGAGCCTGGAGAATGCTGCTGCAGGCTGCGATTTGGAAAGGCTGCTGGTGTCCTCCCTGCCAAGGGATCAGTGGGGACAGAAGGGCTGAAGCCCCAGAGAAGAGGGGCGTTGTGCCAGCTGCTCACCTCGTGCTAGAGGCACACAACGCATACCTCCAAAATCTGTTGCCTGAGTGCTGCTCTTGGTGACGTTGCTTTGAGCGAGCGGGGCACATGTCTGTCTGACTCCACTGAGCCCCCTCCCTGTGCCTCAGTTTCCCTCTTGCTCTCTGTCTGTGCCCATGTTGGCTCAGCAGGAGCATAGGTGTCAACAGCAGTGAAGTGCAGGTTGGTGGGGTTATAAGGTTGCTTGATGAAGAAGTTGGGTTTTCATAGAACCATAGGATGGTTTGGGAAGGGACCTTAAAGCCCATCCAGTGCCACCCCCTGCCATGGGCAGGGACCCCTCCCACTAGCCCAGGTTGCCCAAAGCCTCATCCAGCCTGGCCTTGAACCCCTCCAGGGATGGGGCATCCACAGCTTCTCTGGGCAACCTGGGCCACTGCCTCACTGCCCTCATTGTACAACATTTCTCCCTTATCTCCAATCTAAACCAACCTTCTTCCGGTTGAAAACCATCTCCCCTTGTCCCACCAAGCCTGTTTTACCAGCCACTATGGCACAGGGTGGTGGCACGTCCTGGGCGGTGACATTCTTGCCCCAGCAAGCCAAGGTCCCTTCTCAGCCAAATCTCAGTTCATCCTCTCCTGTTCTGGATACGGAGCAAAATCACTGGCGAATGCCCTGAGCTCAGTTTAGCTGCCAGAGTTATTTTGGGTTTTCCATATTTGCTCAGCAAACACGGCGAGCGCAGTCATGCCGCCTGATTGTCTCTTCCCAACTCTTCCGTCCTCATCGTTTCCAATCAGGTGGCTCAGCGCCTCGCCTCTTCTGACCCGATTTAACTGGGTCTGAGATAGGCATTTCTACAGACGTCTTTAAATAGAAGACCTAATTGAGGAGGGAGAAAAATAACTCCTTGCTGACAAAGTCCTCTGAGAGCTCAGAGGTCCCCGGGGAAGCCCGGTGAAGAGCGGCTGTGGGGAAAGCTCTGCTTAGGGTTGACTCTTTGGTCCAAGACCTTGAGATCCAAATGTCCAGGTGGCCTTGGCTGCTTTGGTGTCCATGGGGCTACTCAGTTCCTGAGCTTAACGCCTGGGAGATGGGCAACGAGAGTCCTGGAGATGGCAGTGGCTTGCTCCAGCAGCGGGGGCTGCTGTGGAACACCTTACGTGGTGCTTGCTGGTGAAAAACGCAGGTGTGATAGTCAACGTCTTTGCCTAACCTAGTATTTAATCAGGGTTTTTTTTTTTTTACAGAAGGTGAAGAGCAGGATTTTGTTAAACTTTTTCAAAAGTTTGAGGCTTGGGTCTCGATGGGACTGTGGGTGGACCTCAGAGGCTGGGTGGCTAGTGGTGTCTGCTAACAGAGGGCGGCTCTGTGCTTCTCTCTTGCCCTGCCCAGGTCGGGATTGACTTCACGGCCTCCAACGGGAACCCGCGAGACCCCACCTCTTTGCACTATATCAACCCCATGGGGACAAATGAGTACTTGTCAGCTATCTGGGCTGTCGGCCAGATCATCCAAGACTACGACTCGTAAGCATCATGCCCTTCTGCCTCCACCCCCGTTTTGCTGATGTCTCCCTGACTTCCCGAGGGGCTGCGTGTGCCTTGGTTTCCCATCTGCAAAGCCAGGGCTGCGTCATACCTGGCTTTTGAAAAGCTCCTTGGGAGAAGATTGCCATATATATTGGGATGCAGGAGGAGGAGAGGGTAAGGACAAGGTTTCTGCTCTCCCCCCATCGCTGCTGTTGAGAGGAAGGGATAGCAGGGGTGGAGCATCCTTTTCTGGGGGCAGCTGGAGAGCAGCCGCTCCGTGCTTTCCTGGCACAGAGGCGGGTGCCCTCAGCTTGCTGGTATTTGCCGTCGGCAGCTGCACCGCCAGGCTGCCTTGTTCCCCATCACCCTGGGGCGGGAGACACAGAAAAATATCATCTTAGGCAGCAACAGAGAAAATAAATAAAACAGAAATCCGTTGGTCTTGCCATGCTGGCTTTTGTGACTGAAATGGATAGTTAATTTTTTTAAAATCTCCAGGGTTACACGTCTGCAAAGAGACTCGGGTGTCTGGACAAAAGGATGCTCCTGATCCCTGTGGGTGACGGAGCGAAGCTGGAGTCTTTTTTCTCTAAAGATCAAAAGCCAAAGGGGAACATCTATTCTCTGTTCAGCTCTCATGATTTTTAAAGGCGCCATGTTGCTCTGGGAGAAGGGAAGACTGGCACCTTTTTTATCTGGCGCTTTCACTGCAGCTGGTAGCATGGGGAAGCCGTAGCAAGAGCTGTGCAAGCCTTGCTTCGTGTGTGAAAATACACCCGTGCGGTTTTTCTTCTTCTCTTTTAGAGACAAGATGTTTCCTGCTCTGGGATTCGGCGCCCAGCTCCCGCCGGACTGGAAGGTGACGTGTTGTGGCCATCTGCGCGCTTGAGATGGGTTTGTCCTGATACTGCCTGGGCAGGAGCGGAGCTCCCGGGGCTTCCGGATTGGCTTTGGTCGGCAAAAAAGCTCTTGGGCAGAGGGGGAAATGGGCGGACGTGGGATTGCAGCTGGTGGGGAGTGAGCTGTGGCAGCGTGGGCGGGTGGCGGGGCGGGGGTGGGGCGCGGGCAGCCCATTCCTCCCTTGAAAGCTGTCATGAAAGCAGCAGCTCCCTGGCATCGAAGGGCAGAGGCAGGCGTTGATTCATTTTCCTGGCAGGAGGCAGGAACAATTCTGGGCAAGGGAAAGGGCCCCTGGATGAGTGTGTCAGACGGCAGCAGAGCCTGGCAGGGGCCTGGGAGCTGGGGAACCTCCACATGATGTTGCCCAGGCAGAGCCTGCAAGGGCTGGAGCAGGGGGGCTTTCCCAAAAACCACCGTGGGATGACATGCCAAAAGGGTTAAAGGCACCGTGGTCCTACAAAGGCTGAGCTGGAGCATCCTGCTCATCACAAGGGATGCGTGGGCAGGGGTCAGGGTGTGCGGGCTGATGGGGAGCATCTGGGAGAAGATGTACTCGGACATCAGCATCTCTCATTATGGGCTGGGTCTCTTGGCTGCTCTTTGCTTACGGCCTCAGTGTGCA